GGATCTCCGGGCGCTGTTGCATGCTGGGAGGTTGGATCTCCGGGCGCTGTTGCATGCTGGGAGGTTGGATCTCCGGGCGCTGTTGCATGCTGGGAAGTAGGGTGTCCAAGCACTGTTGCATGCTGGGAGTTGAGGGAAACCCATGGGCTATAGTGGGCTCAAAAATGGGAGAATTCCAAGCTTTGTTGTTGCCTAGAGATTAAAGGGGTCTCCAAACGCTATTTTAAATTTGGACCAATGGTCTCCAAGGATTGTTGCATGCTGGGTTGTATGCGGGTGATGGGAGGAAGCTCAAGGCCTATAGAGGTCTCACACATAGGAGAATTCTGAGCCCTGTTGTTCGTTGGGTACTGCGGGGCGAGGGGGCGGGGTGCGTCTCCAGTTTCAACGTGGAGTCTTTAAGCACTGTTGCATGCTGGGAAGTTGGAGGACATCTCTAATCACTGTTGCATTCTGGGAAGCACAAGGGCTTAGTAGGCTCAAATGTGGGAGTTCTAAGCCTTATTATTAGCTGGAATTGGAAGGTCTCCAAACACTCTTTTAGATTTGGAACTGGGGTCTTTAAGGACTGTTGCATTCTTGGAGTTGATAGTCCAGAAAAATGCTGCATCTTGTTAATGTAGTCCTCATTGGATCAAATGTTTTCTAAGGTGGATAGAAAGGTCATTAATTATATAAACTTCATTTATTTATCCTTTGTGTATTTACTGAGCACCTGTTATGTTCCATGCACTGTGCTAAGGGCTGGAGATATAAGACTAACAACAAGACAGATAGTATCTTCCCCTCACAGAGCCTAGATTCTGACAGAATTACACAGTAACCAGGGGTGCCTGGGTGGCTCAGTCCGTTAAGCGTCTGCCTTCAGCTCAGGGCATGATCCCAGGGTCCTGGGATCGAGCCCCGCATCGGGCTCCCTGCTCCCCGAGGAGCCTGTTTCTCCCTCTCCCTCTGCTGCTCCCCCTGCTTGTGCTCTCTCACTCTGTCAAATAAATAAATAAAATATATGAAAAGAATTAGACAGTAACCAGTATTTACACATAGGCTAATTCAACCATAATTGTGATGAGAATTATGATGAAGCATGTTAGGGGTATGCATTGCAGCGAGGGTGGGTCAGAGGAACTCAGAGAAGGTGATATTTAAGCGGCTAATTGAAGGATGAACAGGAATCATCCAGAGGGTGGTGGTGGCAATATTGGTGATGTTTGGGGTGGTGGTGATGGGGACAATGATGGTGGTGACAGTGACGATGTTGGCAATGTTGGCGGTGTTGGTGGTGATGGTGGTGATGATGGTGATGGTGGAATAGCATGTGCAGAGGCTGTAGAAGACTTAACAAGCTTGAGGAACAGAATGAAGATCAGAGCATAAAGCAGGCCAAATCTTGCACAAATGTACATGGTAACCCTAACTAACAAGTGAGGTAGAGCCTGGTGCGGATAAAAGAGACACAATGAGTCTTCAAGAGCATGGGCATATGAATGGAAAATAATGACCAATTCTTATTGTTTTGTTGCCTTAGATATCTTCCTAAATAAGGGGGGGGGGGAAATCAGTCATCTTCTTTCCTTTCTTTCATTAATTCATGTGTTCATTTTATGCATTGGTACACACACAGACACATCGTACACAACACGTTTGTACATGTATGTAGGTGTAATATAAGAGTGTACAAGACAGAAAGGTGCTTTCCCTTATGGAGATTATCATCTGGTTAAGGACACAGAAATATCACAGATCACCCCACAGTTATAAACTTCTAGGTGCTATAAAGGAAAAGGAAAAGTAGAATCCTATGAGAGTGCATAATAAGAGCACTTGATTTGAAGCAGAGAGTTAGAGAGGGAGTTCATGAGTAACTAAGCTAGACAGAGTTCAGTGAATTTAAGATCTTGAAAGAAAGCCAGTGTGGCTGGAGCATGGAGAGTGAGGAGGATACTGGTATAAAAGATGGGCCAGTAAATCAACAGGGAATCAAAAGATCTGGGTTGGAATCCCAACTTCTGAAGACATGTGATCTTGGGCAGATTTTTTTTTTATCTCTGAGCTCAGGTATTCTTATATCCCTGAACTCACTCATCCAAGTAACCATTTGTTAAACATCCATCCCATTAATCCATCTGTCCATCCCATCCATCCATCCACCCATTCATTAATTCCCTCCCACTCTCTTCTCCCTTTTCCATTCTCCTTTCCTTTCTCCCTCTCTCCCTCCATCTATTTTTCCATCTGTTCATCCATCCAATTATTCAACAAGTATTTTTTTTATATTTAGTAAGTGCCAGATGCTGTGCTAGGTACCACTGGGGATAGAAAGATGAATAAGATTAAGATGATCCCTGTTCTTGTGTAATTTATGGCATGGTAGGAATTTGGTGCTACTGTTATTACTGAACTCATACCTGGGTTATTCCTGGGGGTGCCATGAAGGTGTGGATATAAAAGTATTTTATGGAAATCTCAGGCATGAAATTTTTCTGCAAATTGTACATCCAAATGAAAGTGAGGGGGTGGATTTGATGCTGTAAGTACTTTGGTTATATTGGGTATCAGGGACTGGGCAGATTGTGTTTTTAAGTTCTCCTTAGATAAAGGGACATATTTGGGTTACATTGTTTCTCTCCATAAAATAAATACGTCAGGTGTTTGTTCATGTTTTAGAGATCTGAGACAGACAAGGTTCCTGCCCTCATGGATTTATAGTTTACTGAGAGAGATAGAAATTGGCCAGACAGACTGTACTAATATAAATTAATATATGTTAATAATTCCAGCTGTGGGGATGCCTGGGTGGCTCAGCCAGTTAAGCATCTGCCTTCGGCTCAGGTTGTGATCCCAGGGTCCTGGGATCGAGTCCCACATCAGGTTCCTTGCTCAGCGGGAAGCCTGCTTCTCCCTCTGCCTGCAGCTCCCCCTGCTTGTGCTCTCTCTCTCTGTCAAATAAATAAAATCTTTAAAAAAAAATAATAATTCCAGCTATGATAAATGCTATAAATGAAAAAAGTAAGAGGAAAATGTATCATAGGGAAATCTGATGTTGACTTAAGTGGCAGTGCTCAGGGAAGGCTTCTCAGAAGAAGTGTAATGTAAGTAGGGATGCATACAGATCTCCAGGCTTGAAAGAATTTGGTGCATCTAAAGGCTGAAAGAAGTCCTACTCTCTACTATTATAGGGTGGGAAGAGCAGCTGAAAGGAGGCCGAAGAAGTAGGCAGGGGCCAGATCACGTGGGCCCTTCTAGATCATACAAGGGATGTCAGGCTTGATCTTTGAGGAGGTACAGTGATGTGCCTAACAGAATAGTCAACGGAGTAGATCTGGCTGCGCTCAAACCCAAGCTCCACTTCTCCAGGCTTTAATGTTCTCTTCTGTAAAATGGGGATGATAATAATATGTACCTCATTAGGTCTAGTGGGAAGAGATGAGACATGAGAGCATCTGGTTGGATTCTTGGCACAAAGCTAGTGTGTCAAGGCTAGGGGTCTGCAGACTGCAGCCCATGGCCAAATCCTACCTCTTTGCTTTGGGGTTAGTCATATTTTTAAACCATTTCCTGCCTGGTTCAAAAGCCAGTAAATGAACAATAAATTACTACCACTAGAATAACATGGCTCCAGGGTCTTATGTGGCCTGGCTCCTGGCTACGTGGGACTTCATCTCTTACCACTTGCTCCCTCCATTCTGGCCACGTTGGCTTCTCCGCTGTTCCTCAGATACTCCACATTCATTTCCTCCTCAGAGCATTTTGCGCTGCTGTCCCCTCAGCCTGGAATGTTCTCCCACTAGATCATCCTGTGTCTCGTTTCTTCATATCATTTAAGTTTCTGATCAAATATTACCTCCTCAGCGAGACCACTGTTGACCACCTTGTCTAGAGTAGGCCCATTACCTGCTGTGTCCCTACCTTGCCTTTTTTCCCCCTATAGAGTCGATCACTACCAGGAATTATATATTTATGTATGTATTCATTTGCTTGGGCTGCCATAACAAAGTACCATAGATTGGGAGTGGGGAACGGGCTTAAAGAACATAAATGTATTTTCTCACAGTTCTAGAGGCTGGAAGTCAGAGGTCCAGGTGTAGGCGGGGCTGGTTTCCTCTGAGGCCTCTCTCCTTGGCTTGTAGATGGCCGTCTTCTTCCTGTGTCCTCACGAGGTCGTCACTCTGTGTGTCTGTGTCCTGACCACCTCTTCTTGTAAGGACACCAGCAATATTGCCCTCCATATTGGAGTAGGGCCCTATTGGCCTCATTTACATTTAATTATTGCTTTAAAGACCCTATCTTCAAATATAGTCACATTCTGAGAAAGTACAGGGTCAGGATGCTAACACATGAACTTTTGGGGCCATGATTCAGCCTAGAGCAATACATTTACCTGATTATTGTCCAATTCTCCCTCTGGGATGGGAGTCCAGGAGGACAGGGCCTTTGTTAGTCTTGTTTTTTTTTTTTTTTGTTAAAGATTTTATTTATTTATTTGAGAGAGAGAGAATGAGAGAGAGAGAACACATGAGAGGGGATAGGGTCAGAGGACGAAGCAGACTCCCTGCCGAGCAGAGAGCCCGATGCGGGACTCGATCCTGGGACTCCAGGATCATGACCTGAGCTGAAGGCAGTCGCTTAACCAACTGAGCCACCCAGGCGCCCATAGTCTTGTTTATATATTTTACAATGAGAGCTCAGTTAAGATCTGTTGAATGAATGAAAGATGCGTGTAGCAAAAGAAGAAAGGGGACTGGAGAGCATCTCCTCCAGTGCCCTAAGCTGAGCTGCGTGGGGTCCCAGAGGCGAGCCAGTGACCCACAGGACACAGATTCCTGGCTGCATTCTCCAGGCCCCTG